GTCTCATGCCTGAATTCTTTATCGTGTGAAGACAAGAACCCTGCCATTCACCGGTAACAACTTGACTAAATGCTGCCGGTTTCCCCCAGTCAAACCCAAACCCACTAAGGCCGTGCACGGGTGTGGTGGGGACGCACCCACGAATCTCACAGCCGTTTGCCCATGCAGAGCGACTCACGCGCAGCCTGGCCGGGGCGTCCCATGCACCTTAGCCAAGGAGAGCCGCGGAGACATCAGCAGGGGCCGGAAGCAGGGGTTCATGTTTGCTGTGCTGCTGAGGGGCCGGACGGCCTGACCCTCTTGCAGTATGGCCCAGAAGCAGGGCCTGGCCCAGCCTGACCTGCCCAAGCTGCTGCCCACGGGGTCACAGCGATTGAACAGCTGTGCCACGGCCACAGACACAAAATCCCTGCACACGTGCTTGTCCTCCACGGACGAATCCCTAGGAGGCAGCCCTGCAGTCCCGACGCTGACTCAGCAGTCACCAGGCCCCTCTCGCCACTCCCTGGCAAGGTGAGTGCTTCCTTCACCCGGCTGGCCCCAAAGACAGCCTTTTGTTTTTGTTTTTCCCCTTTTCGCCAGTGGCTGAAGCAGACAAGGGCCCTGGCAGCACTGCCCGGGGGCTGCAGACCGCTGACCTCCCTGGAGGCCACTCTGAAACAAGACCCTGGGTAAGGCCGGCAGCCGGGGGCCTGGTACCAGGCTGGACTGAGCGCTCGCCCTTTGCCCCTGGTTAACAAGCGGGGACGGGGTCGGTGCCCCCCTAGGGTCCCTGCAGCCTGAACTGGAGCCGGGGCCTCGCCGCGGCTCGCCAGCAAGCCGGGGAGGGCGCTCACTGCGCACAGCGCCTGACTGTCGAGCTAAGGCAACCCCGCGCAGCCAGCCGCCATTCAACGGGGTCCCGGGACGCGCCCCGCACTCACAGCCGCCTCGCTCCATTGCGGGCCTGCAGTGCAGGTGCGCCCAGGTGCTGCCCCGCGCCCCGCCCCGGGCACGTGCTCCAGGCCCGGGGGCCCTGGCACCTGACGCGAGCAGACCTAACTCAGGGGCCGCGCGGGCCTCCTCCAACCCCGGGGTCGCCCCGCAGGCCGCGGCACGACACCTGCCCGCCGGCCCCTCGGACCCCCACGCAGCGCCGGCGCACGGGCACTGCCGGAGCGCCCGCAGCCGCAGCCCTCACCACGGCGACCGGCGGTGGCGCGCACGTCGGCGTCACGGCGCCGGCCCCGCCCACGGCGCGCGCGCGCCCGCCCGCCCGCGCGGGGGCGGTGGCGAGGGCGGAGCCGCGGCCAGCGTTGGCGCTGAGGCGGCTGAGGGGCCGTGGCGGCGGCGGCGGCGGCGGCGGCGGCGGCGGCGGCGGCCGAGCGGCCAGGTCGGCGGCCGGGCTCTGGCGGCGCGAGCCACCGGCGCGCCGTGCCGCAGCGCTCGGGGCCGGGCCGGGTCGCAGCTGCGGCGTCGGGCGTCCCGAGCAGGCCGCGCGAGGTGAGGCGGGAGGGCGGGCGGGCTGGCCGGGCACGGCGCCGGGGGCGGCGGGCGCGGCGGGCACCCGGGCCCCGTTTATGTAAGCCGGGAGGACAGGTGCGGAGGCCGACGGCGCTCGCTCGGGGCGGACGCCGCGCGCCGGCCCGGCGCTGTGCACGGGGCTGCGGGGCCGCGGGGCTGCGGGCGGGTCCCGGCGCCCGGGAGTGCAGGCTGCGCCCGGGGCTGGGGTCGCTGCGCCGGGGCTGAGGAGCCTGCGTCCCGGGAGGGCGGGAGGCTGCGGCCCGAGATGGAGAGGGTGCGCCCCAAGGTGGGGAGGCTGCGCCCCAGGGTGGGCGGGCTGCGCCCGCGGTGGAGACGCTGCGCCCCGACACGGGGAGGCTGCGTCCTGGACGGGCGGCGCGTCCCCTCCTGAGGGCACCGTGTCCGCGTGGGAAGCTCCGCGCCGCGGGGCAGGGGGCGTGCACCCGGCGTGGGGCTGCACCCTGCGTTCGGGGGGCGTCCGGCGGGAGGCTCTGCGCCGCGGGCAGCCCGGGGCGGGGAAGTTCCCGCGGCGCTGGCAGCTGCGGGGTCGGGTAGGAGGATGGCCGCGTGGTGGGTGGGTGGGCGGTGCGGAGTCCCGGCCGCGGGCTGCCCGGGGTTTGCGCCGGGTGCTGGGTTCGCAGTTAGCATTTTTAGCCAGCAGGGTTGGCTGCTGCTTCTGATGAAGGCATTGTGGTCGCCGCGAAGCCCGGGGCGCTGTGCCTGCGCCCCGAGTGTCTGAGAGGGTCCTGCTGTGGCACCTGCTGCTGCACTCCGCCTGCGGTGCGGAGCGGTGGAGAACCAGGTTTGCACTTGGTCCTCTTTGTTCTCTCCCACCTTCGCCCGAACCTTTCATTTCTTTGAAAGGTGCGGCCCGCCGGGTGGTCCCGGGAGCCGGCCGGGCCCTGGGAAGGTCCTCTGATGACTGCCTTTCCCCTGGGGAGAGACCGCCCGGCCCCTTTGCCTGCCCAGGGTTTTCTGGGGCGAGGAGGAGAGAGGCAGAGGTGGCTGCTGCGGTGCCTGGGAGGGTGCGGGACCCACCGCAGGCGCTTGATAAATATGGGATGAGACGGCCGGGCTGGGCGCAGAGGCTTTGAGAGGGGCCCGCTGTCTGTGGGCCGTGCCCGTCGGTTCCCGAGCTGGGGCTGTTCAGCCACGTCCAGGTCAGGTTGGCAGGGAAGGAGGAGGCCTTTCTGCGGGGGCAGTGGTAGCGGACGGGCCCCCGGGGCGTTGGGCGCTCACTCCCGGGGCCCTCAGCCTTTGCCTGTTTACGGGTCATAAAGCGTTGCTTGCAGATGTTTGCAGTAAGAGAGTTCTTCGGACTTGAGGCCTGTCTGGTGCATGACTGAAGCGCTCCTAATTCATCTCCCACATGCTGACCGTGGCCTGCCGGGCAGCAGGCTCTCCCGGTGCCGGACAAGGTGGGCAGCGCTGAGAGATGCTGCTGGCAGTTTGTTAGTCACTCACGTAGCGTTACGTCCTAAAAATAAAATTTATAATTTTAGTTGTGAAATTGCACGGTTTTATTTATGGATGTAAAAGTGCCAGTGTGTGCCCCGGGAGGTGTGAACTCCTCGCTCCCAGCCGCAGCCCCTCGCCTGCCTGCCCCTGCTGCTGCGATGGTCGTGGGTTGTCCCTGCCCTAGTCCCTGCCGGCAGTTGTAATGCGGTTTTTAATATTTCCTCTGACAGACAGTGCTACAGTGGCGATTCTTATTCGTGACTGCAAGCAAGACCTACTGATTGTTTTGTGTTAATTATCAAAATTCCTTCACTGTAAGATGTATTAAAGCACTGGGTTTATTCCCTTGAATGCTGTGATTAACTCTGTAAGCACACAGGAACAAAGTGTGTTATTTAATTAGGTGGTGGTTAGAAAGTACATTTAAGAGATTAATAGATGAAGTTATCCACTTACCAGCCTACAAAAAACTTAAGCAAAACGATCAAGCTTATGATCAAACTTAAAGCTGATATCTGGCTTTTTAAAAAGGTTTATTCTTTTATTTGAAAGACAGTGTAATAGAGCGAGGTCTTCCATCCAGTTGTTTACTTCCCAGATGGTCGAGGCTGGGCCAGGCTGGTTCCACCTGGGTCTCCCACGTGGATGGCAGGACCCAGGCACTCAGGCCGTCTCCTGCTGCCCTCCCAGGCACATTAGCAGGGAGCTGGATTGGAAGTGGAACAGCCAGGACTTGAACCAGCGCTTTGATAGGGGTGACAGGGGATGCCGGCGTTGCAGGCGGCAGCGTGATGCACTGTGCCACAGCACTGGCCAGGAGACAGAATTTTAATGGAAAACGTGCTGATTTTCTTTGTAACTTTCTAAAACGTGCTGTGCTACGCTCATTTTCTCTCTGTCTCACTCTGTCTCTCTCTCCCAATCCACCCCAGAAAGCATTTATCAGGCTCCTCTTGCAGCCGGCACAGGACTTAGTTGGGGGCACGTTTTGCCGTAGGTTCAGTTCTGAAGCCAGTGGGGGTTGCCGGTCAGCGTGGCCGAGTTCCTGATGGCCAAGGCCTTAGGGAGGGTGGAGAGTGGCCGCAGGCCTGGGATGTCCCTAGGCCTGGACTAGTGCAGGGACTGACCTCGCCCAGAGCCCTCCTCGGGAGAATGTTCTCGGATCCCTGGGGACCTGGCCCTGCACACAGGACCCCACTGCCGCAGTCAGAGCTAAAATGTGCATTTCGGTTATTGGACAGGGTGGAAATGGTTGTGATTAAAAGAAAGTTTTAGTTAATATGTTTATAGTGTGTGAGGTAGGAAAATCAAATGGCAAAAATGTCATTTAAAGAAAGTACACGTTGAAGTCATTGAGATGTCTTCCCTACTCTTGGAGAGACTTGCCTTCCCAGAGTCACAGCTTTTTATGTGCAGTGTGGACAAGGAAAATTTGCAGCTTTGCTTTGTCTTGTGACAGCTGTGGGCCGAGGGCCACCAGTACCACGTTATTATCACATCCTCTGAAGCTTGGCTAGTAGCTGGCTGCTCCGTTTATATGCTTCGGAGGTGTGCTAGGAGTACACAGAGCAAGGTCCTTAACGCCGTGCTGATGGATTCAAAGTTAAGGTGCAGCGGGGAGGGGATAAAAATAGTGTGGCCGTGCCTCCCGCTTGTGCTGGAGTAGCGGGGCGAAGCTCGGCCTGCCCAGGCAGGGAGTCTGCAGACGGGTTTTGTTCTGTTCGCAGCAGATGCCATCCTAGGCGCCAGAGACGTGGCGGGCGCTGCAGAAAGACAGTCCCTGCCCTTGTGGGGTTTCCGTGGTGAGGGGCTAGCGTCCTCAGTGCCAGGAAGGACACACGGCAGGGCGGGCTCCCGGCTGGGAGCTCAGGGATGGAGTGATCTGGGCAGTGGCCCTGGCGGCGGCAGCCCGTCGGGCAGAGGGAGCTCTGGAACCGAGGCCTGGACGTGTGCTGGTGACGTCAGGGTGGCCACATGGCCTGAGAGGGTGGGGAAGTGTGGGAGGGGACTGGAGAGACGCAGCACACAGGCCTCGGGAGGAATCCAGACTTTAATCCAGGCGGAATGGGAAGCCTCACCGCGGCAGGCGGGCGGGCTCACGGGCGCCGAGGGAAAGGTGCCTGGGATTCAGCTCTACGGAGAGGAGCTGCTGTGTCGCAGGCGCTGGTGGTAGGCCAGGCTGTCCCAAAGACTCAGGTGTGGCAGTTCTCGTAAATCGTGGGGCGGCCCGGTGGGCCTGCGGTGTTGCCGTGACTCCTGGGGGAGACCTGGGTGCGATGCAGCCAGCACAGAGATTCCCCAGCGCACGGGCGTGGGAGAGGCAGGCTGCTGCAGCGCCTGCCCGGGGGTGGCCGGCAGCAGCGTGGCCCGGCCGACACGACGTGGGTGTCGCTGTTTTCGTACCTCATGTGTGATGGAGGGATGGTGCTTCTGCTCCTTGGTGTTCTCTGCACTCACTGGAGGAGTCACTCGTGAAACAGTGCTGCTGGCGTTGCTTCTTCAGAACGTGGCTCTTTCCCTTGAGGTTTGGAGTTGGCGTTGACACCGTCTTGGTGCCCCGTCGGTGTCCTGTGTGAGGTGGGAAGCTGGGGAAGAGCCAGGGTTTGGAAGAAATCAGGAGCTGGGATTCGGACGCCTTTGTGAGAGGCAGCTTCGCTGTGGATCTGAGCACGTGAACGTGGCTGTGGCGCAGCCACTTACTGGATGTGTGGTCTTGAGCAAGCTCTGTCATCTTTCTGTGCTTGTTGGTGATGTATTTATTTTGAGAAGGAGAGAGAGAGGGAGAGGGAGGGAGAGAGGGAGAGATAGAGAGAGGGAGGGAGGGAGAGGGAGATACCCCATCTGTTGGTCCACTACCCAAATGCCTGCAACGGCTGGGACCAAAGCCAGGAGCTAGGAACTCAATCTGTGTCTCCCACGTGGGCTGCAGGGACCCAATCCCTTGAGCTGTCCCTGCTGCGTCCCAGGATGTGCATTCACAGGGCACTGGTTTGAGACGTGGGAGTCTTAACCAGTCGGCTACACGTCTGCACCGAGTGCGCCAAGTTTTTTTCATCCATAAATTAGGAAGACTGACAGCAGCTCATCTCTCAGGGTTGTTGAACCAGCACACTGAGCTCACGCAGAGCCTGAAGCAGCAATGCTTGGCTAGCAGTGTGTGAGAGGGCACCTCTGCTTGTTGCTTTTATGATGAGTCATCTGGGTGGACAGGATGGGTTTGGGTGGACAGTCAAGGTCAGGCTTGAGAAGGGCAATGGCCAACTCTCAGTCGTGGCTCCTGTGCCCATCACTGGAGCCTGAGACCTGAGTCTGGGCAGTAGGTGTGAGTCCGGAAGGCAAGGACTGACCCAGGGGCCCCTGGCAAGGAGTCCATGGGGGTGGGGGGCTCCCGGTGCCATTGGAAAGGGCTCTGCTGAAGAAGGAAGAAGCCAGGAGGCTCCAGCAGCCTGGAGTCCAAGCCACTGGTGGAGATTGGGGGTTTCCTCCCTTCTTACTCTCAGGGCTGGAGAAGAGGTGGCCGCCAGGGACCTGCTCGTTAAGAGTGGGGGAAGACCTGTCCAGTGTGAGGCTGAAGGTGTCCTTGCAGAAATGTGTGGGGACAGGTGATGCAGGAGGGCAGGAATGCAGAATGAAGGCCTGGCAGAGCTGGAGAAGGGGAGCAGGCGTGAGCTCCTCCTGGGAGAGGAGGGACGAGGAAGGCTCCAGAGACTGCTGCGTGAGGGAGCGGTGGTGCTGGCCAGAGGAGCTGGGGTGCAGCAGTCTCCACGTGAAGAAATCACAGGGACTTGGTTTCGCTTGTCTCCTGCCTGCGATGTACAGCATTTGTATATCTTACCCAGGGTCCCGGGACACACCTGCGCTCTGTGAAGCACACACAGAACACGGATGTCAGCTTTCACTGCACACACCTGCACTCCACACAGGAACACACATGTCAGCTTTCACTGCGCACACCTGCACATCCCAGATGCTCTGGGCACTGTCTGTGATGGACACGCAGGAACACACATGTCAGCTTTCACTGCGCACACCTGCACGTCCACACAGGAGCACACATGTCAGCTTTCACTGCGCACACCTGCACATCCCAGATATACTGGGCGCTGTCTGTGATGGACACACAGGAACACACATGTCAGCTTTCACTGCGCACACCTGCACATCCACACAGGAACACACATGTCAGCTTTCACTGCGCACACCTGCATGTCCCAGATGCTCTGGGCACTGTCTGTGATGGACACACAGGAACACACATGTCAGCTTTCACTGCGCACACCTGCATGTCCCAGATGCACTGGGCGCTGTCTGTGATGGACACACAAGAACACACATGTCAGCTTTCACTGCGCACACCTGCACATCCCAGATATACTGGGCGCTGTCTGTGACGCACACGCAGGAACACACATGTCAGCTTTCACTGTGCCACCTGCATGTCCCAGATGCACTGGGTACTCTTTGTGAAGCACATGCAGGAACACACATGTCAGCTTTCAATGCACACACCTGCATGTCCCAAATGCACTGGGCGCTGTGACTCACATGCAAGAACACATATGTCAGCTTTCACGGTACACACTTGCACATCCCAGATTTACTGGGCACTGTGTGATGCACACGCAGGAACACACATGTCAGCTTTCACTGCGCACACCTGCACATCCCAGATGCTCTGGGCGCTGTCTGTGATGGACACACAGGAACACACATGTCAGCTTTCACTGCACACACCTGCACATCCCAGATGCTCTGGGCGCTGTCTGTGACGCACACGCAGGAACACACATGTCAGCTTTCAGTGCATACACCTGCATGTCCCAGATGCACTGGGGACTCTTTGTGAAGCACACGAAGGAACACACATGTCAGCTTTCAGTGCATACACCTGCATGTCCCAAATGCACTGGGCGCTGTGACTCACACGCAAGAACACACATGTCAGCTTTCACTGCGCACACCTGCACATCCCAGATATATTGGGCGCTGTCTGTGACGCACACGCAGGAACACACATGTCAGCTTTCACTGCGCACACCTGCACGTCCTGGGGCTCTTGTTCTCAGGTCGGTTACTCCTCACTACTCTTTCATAGGCCTCATTACCTCCATTTCTCCAATCAGGAAACTGATAGTGAGGAGCTAGCTCAGTGGCGTCAGGGAAGCTGGGTCACATTTAGCTCACGGTTCGTCAGCTCTTACCCTGTGTCAGGCATGGGTAGCTGAGTGTAATCCAGTGTAATCCTCATGACGATCCTAGGAGGGTACTGTGACTGCCCCCTTCCCTGGCTGTGGGCTCCTGCTCCTGGTCTCCTCTGTCCGTTCTTGACCAGTGCTCTCAGCTGAGCACTAACGTAAGACAGACTGGGTCACAGCACTGCCCAGAGCCCCTGCCACTCCTGTCTCAGTGCTCCCAGCGGCTGCTGCCGCCGCCTCTCAGCCTCAGGGCCTTGGTGCCATGTCGGGCTCGCTGCTTGCACACGCATGGGATGCACGTTCAAGGGCCCTGGTTACCTTTACCGTGTGTACCCATCAGGAGTGGAAGCCTCAGGAAGGCAGGGTGGTTGTTCCAAATCCATCCCAAGGGCTCAGAGCCGTGCCCGGCACAGAGAGGGCGCCCGGCCCAGCACGCAGCGCGAGTGTTCACTGAGCGGGTGAACCGCTTTTTGTTACGTTTCCTATAGGTAGGGAGGATGGGACTGAGTTGAGTGAGTGCATCTGCCCGTGGGAACGAATGCTTTTCCTGCCTCCCCACGCTGCACCCCCATGTCCTATTGTACTTGGTGAATCAGTCATAGATTTATGCCCCATATGTCGGTGTTATCTCCAGATTTCCATGCTTTTCTTTGTAGAATGGAAACATTTACAAAACATTCAAAATTGTTATAAAACCATAAAGTGCAATATAGTAAATTAATCTGTTCAGAACAGGGAGCCCACGTCCTGAAAATACAGTTCTGGTCACCCCTTTTGGACGACGTAGAGTGGAAACGCATTCTCCGTGGTCGTCAGAGGAGGGATGGTTGTAACGGCGCCTTGACAAAGATGAGCGTGCTTTGAATAATCTGGGAGGTTTAGGGAAGCAGCAGCCAAATCAAGTGACGAATACATTTGATTGAACCACAGAGGCTTCCAGAAGCTAGAGATCGGAGACAGTATGGCTTATAAATTGCTTGGTAGAAGAACAAACAGGAGAATGTCCCAGGATTTGGGAAACTGGAGGTTGGATCCTGCCTGAGTGCACACGGGGGGCTGCAGCATGAAGTCCCAAAGGCTCAGTGTTTCAGGGTGGTTCCCTTGGCTCTCCTGCTTCCTCCTGGCTCAGTGAGTGTTGAAAGAGGTGGGGGACTGGAGGGGCTGGGGTCTTAGAGGTGAGCAGGTTTAGGAGGCAGAGTCTGGGGAGGGGAGGTCACAGGGTCTGGTTCCAAGGAAGTGCCCAGCCCCGTTACTGCTCCCTGCACTGCCTTCGCCTGAGGGGACTTGGGTTGAGCAGTGCTCCAGTCCGGTGTTCAACATCAGCGCCCGAGATGGCTCAGTGGCACTCACGGACGGTGAACACCTTCAGAAGTCACAGGTCGTCGGCATGCACGAGGCTGAGCCTCACGTAGGGGCAGCGTGCCACAGCCCTGCGTCCTGTCTTTTGTTTGGTGACAGTGGGACAGAAATGCAGAGCCCACTGTGAGGCGGCCCCTCTAGGAGGGGCTGCTCCCAGGATGGGGGCTGTGGAGACAGCACAGCAGTGCTCACTCGCCGGCGTGGGGTGTTCCTGGCGGGCCCCCTGCCAGCTGCCTCCCAAGCCGCGCGCTCTCGGCCCTGGGATAGTCTCAGATTTCTCTCCCTGAGGTGAGGTTCGTGGCAGTGGGGGCAGTTGACAGAGTCGTCTCGTGTGCAGGCCTTGGCTGTGTGAGATCAGGAAATGGAATTCTGGCTTCTGCTCTCAGGAGCGGGTGCTCCTCCTCAGGCACCTTCACATAGAGGAGGGGGCTTCCACGGATGACCCCAGCTGCCGCAGGAAGAGCGATGGGAACCCCAGCGTAGAAGACCGGATCTGACGGCGTGCCTGCGCCCTGCCCTGGATGTGAGGGCACGCTTGTTGGTCTGAATCGTGAGGCTGACACGCTTCGGGACAGGTGTGTGCTGGCGCTGGCCAGGTGGAGGGACTGCTTTTGAGCTGGCCTCACCATCTTTGTGTCGCTT